GGAGGGGGGAAGCCTTCTTAGAAGGAGGCTGCCTCTAGCAAAAGGCGCCAGCCTTACATCTAACTACAGACAAGGCCCGCGCTTTCTCAGAGGCAGGGGTGCTTCTAAGAGGCCTCGGGTGTGGCAACTCATGGGAGCCTCCCACACCATCTTGTCGGCTCTTGCAAATCGATGCTGGCCGACGCTAAACCGACGCTCACCGACGCTAAAGCGACGCTCATCGATACTCAATCGGGCTATGCCATCGACTCCCAGACGCTAATCGACGCTAGTCGACGCGAAAGACGGAATTAAGTGGGCATACTAGGCCCCCACGATGTGCTACCGAAGAAGCCCTCCCTCCTCCCCCAACCCCCCTCTGCGCGTGGCTGAGACATGCTCGCGTCGTGAACAAAACCTAGACGGGAGGCTTCTGCCCGTTTGGAGGGGGCTCTGCGGGGCCCCTTGCTGGGCCCCGGGACCGTCCCAAAACGACTCGGGGTGACACGCAGGTCACCGGGAAGGGGTCGGGCCCTCTGGGGGCCCCGCATCGCATGTCTGGGCTGGGAGCAACCGAGGGGGCTGCGCTGGGCGCGCGATAGGGATGCAGGGGCCTTGGAAAGCCGTGTTAGCACTTTGAGAGCTGGGCGCGGCCAGCGAAAGCGGCCAAGGATGGGCCGAAGGGGACGGATGCAAGGGAAGCCTTGGAGAGTTGCTCATCCTTACTGTGCGGGTTGACTGTGGTTCCCGACAAAGATCTGTCAAGAGGAGGGGGGGGGGCGAGGGGCGAGGGCTGATTCAGTCCTGAACGGGGTGGGCTGGCAAGCCCCTGTCGTCGATACATGGGCGATTGTGGGTCGATGCATCCCCCCCGGAGCATAGACACCTCCAACGCCTAACGAGCCTCACGGCATTCAAAATCGTAACTCGGCTGTGCGGCAGCCGTTCGGGACGATCCTGGCACCCCTAGAACGCCCTCGGCGAGGCGCAGTTGTTGGAAAGCATCCCGAGGCTGGAAGTGAGTCTCGTTTAACCGATCCCCAACCCCAGCGGCGTGGCCTGGGCCCCACTGGCCCATTTACCCCCCTGGATGGGGATACAGGTCCTTCCCTTCGGATCTCGAGGGGCGTATCCCCCACTGGGGTGGTAATCCCACCAGCCCTTTGGGCGTGAGTGGTTTAGAGAGCCCGCTCTGTTCTCAACCCTCCTTCTTCCCCTTCGGGGAGGGGTTTACCCCTCCCCCTACCCCCTCCCCCTGGGCCTGGAGAGGGCGTTCCGCGGGTCGTCAGGGGGGTCATTTTCGACTCCTGGGAGGGCTAAAAAACGACACCCCTCACGAGGATTCTGGCCCCGACGGGGGGAGGCAGAAAAAATGCTCTCCTCTTCTTTGAAGCCCAAAAACATTGATTTTACTACGGTGTTGGCCCCAGTTTGGCCTTCTGAGGGGGCAGCGCTCATTACAGATCCCCTCTTCTTTCAAGGCAAAATCCTTGATTTTACTAAGGTGTTGGGCCCATTTTGCCCTTCTGAGGGGCCAGCGCTCATTAAAGCTCCCCTCTTCTTTGATCGATTCCCTCCAAGATGGCCCCAAGAAGCGCCCAGGAGGCACCAAGAGGCCCCAAGATGGCCCCAAGAGGCCCCCAGGAGGCCCCCAAGAGGCCACCAAGAGGCCACCAAGATGCCCCAAAGAGGCCCCCAAGAGGCCCCAAGAGGCTCCCCCGAGGCACCCAAGACGTCCTGGAAGCCCCTGGGCCGCCAAGAGGCCCCCAAAGACGCCCAAACGGCAGCACTCCAAGAGGCTCCCAAGAGGCCCCGAAGAGGCTCCCCCAAGGCCAACCCAAAGACGCTCCTAGAAGTCCCCTGCGGGCCGCCAAGAGGCCCCCAAGACGCCCCAAAAGGGGGACGAGGTGCCCTCACGCCTCACGCCACGAGGAGCCCCGACGCGAACGACTCACACATGACGAGGGGGCCCGAACGCCCGGCCTCACGCACGAGGTAGCCTGAGGCAAGAAGTGGACCAGGACGAGGGCCCGAAGACTCACACACACGAAGAGGCCCGTAACGACTCACACCACGAAGAGGGCCCCGAACGACTCACCCACGAGCGAGCCCGAACGAGTCACACAGGAGGAGGGGCCCGAAGACTCACACCAGGACGAGGGCCCGAACAACTCACACCACGAGAAGCCCGAACGACTCACACCAGGACGAAGAGCCCGAACGACTCACACCACGAAGAGCCCGAACGACTCACACCAGGAAGAAGGGCCCGAACGACTCACACCAGGACGAGAAGCCCGAACAACTCAAACCACGAGGAGCGCTTTCTCTCCCTCCTCCTCCGCCTCGTCCTTCTCCCGCTCCCACCCCAAGGAGGATGTACAAGGAGGCGGGAGGAAGGAGGAACAGGGGAGATATGCGGGGGCAGGCGGAAACACGCCTGACAAACACGACTGTCGGCATGCTTCGCAAGAGTTGCTGTTTTGAGATGGGCTGGTGGGGATACGCGAAGCGTAAAGAATTTAGTGGAGGGCTCGAAGGGGATAAGGATGGGGATGGGGACATGTGGAGGAGGAGGAGGAGGAGGAGGAGGAGGAGGACGAGGAGGAGGAGGAGGGAGGAGGAGGGAGGAGGGAGGAAGAAGGGCTGGAGGAGGAGGAGGACGTTGAGGAGGAGGAGGAGGAGGAGGATAATGAGGAGGAGGAGGACGTTGAGGAGGAGGAGGAGGAGGAGGCGGCGGCGGAGGAGGAGGAGGACCGTCGAGAGGCGACAAAACGCCCACCTCGTCCTGCGCCCGCCCGAGCCTGTCCCCCCCCCCCCCCCCCCGCACCCCTAAGGGTGCCCAGGCGAGGGCCTCCGAGCCCATCCTCCCCAAGCATCAGGTCGGGCCTGTCCCCCTGCAGGGGGGGATTTTGGGCGAAAAATCAAAAATACCCCAAATCTGTTCAAACATGCTACACCCTTCTCCTCCTCCTCCTCCTCCCGTCCGCCCTCCTCCTACATCTTCCTCCTATCCCTCCTCCCCTTCCTCCTCCTCTCCTCCTACATACTTCTCCTCCTCCTCCTCCTCCTCCTCCTCCTCCTCGCCTCCTCCTCCTCATCATCTTCCACGGCCTCCGTCTCCGCCCACTTCGTCGCCGACGTCGTGGTCCTCTTCAGGGTCGGCGGCATCGGCCGTCAGGCCATCGCAATATGTTCAAAAATGTTAAAACAAATCTGTTTTTTTGGAAAACAACAAAACACGTCCCCAGACTATGGTTTGACTATCTGTTGGATCTCCCTCCTGTAGAGGGGCAGGCCCGACTGAACCCTAACACTGCCCCTGACCTTTCGCTCCCTGGCTTCCGGGCCACACATGCCTCGGGCCTCCAGCGGCCGCTCGGGACGGGGAATACGCCTTCGACACGGCGGCCCAAGAGCGCCTACGACGGGGCGCAGCTGCTGAAAGCCACTGTGCTGGGCTGCTGGGCTGGACCCCCCACCCCCCCTGACTCGAGTAGGGGATCGACTACAAGTCATGTGCACCCCAAGATCGGCTTCCCCGTCGAATCTACAACACATGCGCAGAATGCCCTGAGAGGCGTACAGAACATGCTGCGCATGTCTCGTAGATTCGACTGACCAATGAACTTTCTGGGGTAGATCCATTCTGTCGTCGATCCCCTGATCGACCGACGTGGTCCCTGCATGGGGAGGGCCTCTCCCAAGAGCGTGGCGGCGCGACACGCTGTAAGCCAGAGCTCCAAGCCGTACTCCATGTCGGCCGTGCCTAATCCCAGATATCCGACGTGGCGTCGCGCCTTTATCACATTCGGTGGCAACTCGTGGGAGCCTCCCATCCCATCTTGTCGGCCCTTGCGACTCGACGCTGATCGACGCTAAACCGACGCAAATCGACGCTCACCGACGCCAGCTGATGCCAAATCGGCGCCCCCTCATCGACTCCCGGACGCCAATTCATCGACGCCAGTCGACGCTCAAGACGGAACTGAGAGGGCATATGAAGCTCTCATGGCTTGCTGCCGACGCCCCAGTCGGCCTGGACCGCTTCCCCAGGACCGGCTTCTCATCCTGCGTCGTCTCCTGACGGTCCCGGGACCCCGCGAGGGCCCCCGGACTGCAAAGAGGAGCACAAGAGCAAAACTGCTGCCGTAATCCGGCGCGTGCCACGCACTGCAATAGCGTCGCAGGAACAAAATGCGACATATCGCAAAAAAGTCACGACAGGAGCCCTGGACCCTACATGTTTGCGTCCCCTTCAGGCCGCCACGATCTGTGGGCCCCACAGGGCCCGGCATGGAGGGAAAACGACCGCTGTGAAGAAACTGCGGCGCCAGGATCTGAGGGTTGCGTCGGGCACTCCTACGGTCCTGCGGGCGGATTCCGGAAAACAGATCCAGCAAGAATCGAATCAAGTGAAGCAAACAGTCGAAACATCGTTCCCAAGCTGTTTTTGACTATTCTCGAATTCTCCCCCTGTGGAGGGACGTCGGAGGAGGAGGAGGAGGAGGAGGAGGAGGGACGTGCCCCACCGAATCTCAAGGAGCCCACTCGGCGGCGCGACGGGCTGAGCAGCAGTCCCCGGTCCCCGCCCGCGGCCGCGGGGGCCTCTCTCCCGGGTGCCTCGCGGCGGGAGGCGCCCCGGGCGA